AGCACTACAAACCCCAGAATTGCATAGCATTGAGCCATGACAATTAAAGTGGTGTCGTACTTCATTATTTCTGCCTTGCAGATGCAGCCATAGGCTACATTCCATGAATCTGTTGAAGTTAACTGGAGTCTATGAAACCTTATGCTAGAAATTTCAGTTCAAACGTTTTATAGGGTTCCTTTACATCTTTTTATATTAAAATAGAATAACACAAGTACATCCATGAAAATTATATAGCAGTATGAAATAATTTCCCTTTTATTAATAATGTAATATATTTATTTAATTATATGTATATTTACATACTCAAAGACATGCACACTTGTATACACACACCCCAATACACACATTTCTGTGGAAACATGGGTTTTCTTATATGTACAACCTATTTAAAATATGTTGGACTGTGCAGTTGAAATGATTATGCTTTTCAAGGGTGGAAATCATGTGTCCCTGCAGATGTTGTTCAGCTGCAACTCCCAGCTTTTCTCATCTATCACAGAGTCAACACAATTCTCACCTCTACACTATTCAAAGAGCACATTGCTAGCAAAATGGTGGTCATTGTGATGGGGCAGACAAGCCCTCTGTTAAGGAGTTGTGTTTGACTCCTGCCTTAATATGTTGTGAAATATTTTAGGTTCTAGTTAATGATCTGGCAGAAAACTGCATATAGGGTGCAATCTTAATCATGTTTACTCAGAAATAAGTCCCACTGAGCTCAGTATATATTAATCCATCTCAAGCAAGTTTAGGATTATAGCCTTTACAAACTGCAGCTATCTTACATATATTAAACATATTATTTGATAAAATGAAATTCAGTATAGACCAGGGGTTGGCAACCTTCCCTGGGCCTTGGAAAGGCCCCCCGGGGGGCACCTGCTTGGGCCCTGTTGTTTTGTGAGACATGTAGCCTTCTCTGTCAGAGAGTTTTGGTGTCACAATAAACTACAATTCCCAGGATTCCCTAGTAGTTAGCCAAGGCAGTCTAAGTGGTCTTGAACTGGATTATTTCTGCAGTATGTTTTGGACCTTTGTTTCTGGGTTGAAGGAAGTAATAGTCCCATTATATTCTGTGCTGTTTAGACCTCATCAGGAGTACTGTGTTCAGTTCTGGGCACCACATTTTAAGAAGGATATGGACAAATTGGAGTGAATTCAGAGAAGGGTAATAAGGATGATAAGCAGTACAAAGAACAAAACTTATGAGGAGAGGTTGAAAGAGCTGGGCATGTTCAACTTGCAGAAGAAGGGGAGATGACACAGGAAGGACACCGGACACACAATGGGCAGAAAAAGGCCACAACTTTATTGAATACAGTTGACAGGGAGAGTTGGCCCGAGTGCATGGGTTTGGATCTTGCATCGATCAACCTGCCTGCTGCTCAAATAACCAATTTGCCCAGTCACGGCCAGGCTTTGGGATGGCAGAAGGGGTAACTGCCTGATCGCATATTCACATCTTTGCCCCTTTGTCATTGGGGATGCTGCTCAGGGGTTGCCCCTGGAATAGCAACACCATACCACTTTCAGCACCCCCGTGGGACTCCTGATCCTGCACTATGCAGCACAGGAAACCATGACCACCAGATCCATGGCCTGTGCTACTGCCCCATAGAAGTTGCAACATCACCCACAAACTCATGAGACCAACTAAAAGGGGAGGACGAGAGCAAGGCTGGAATGACACTGTCCACTCCAGCTATGTGGCCCTTTACATGCCCATCAGCCAATGGGCAGCCCCAGTGAGTAGAAGTCTCACACCCCCCCCCCACATACACACATCACTCCTGTCTAATCAGGGAGACTGCTGACCAGAGCGAGGGGGCAGGGCTTCTGGAAGCAAAGGTCACTGGGACTTGTAGTCCTGGGCAGCAACCAGAGGTCCAGTCCCCAACAGCCCAAATACCAATCCGGGCTCTGAACATTGCTCCCACAGTCCTCTGGGAGTGCCCAATCCCTTCCCAGCCAGGCAGGGAGCCCACAACCTGGCAACCAAGCCAGCTCGGTAAGTTGGGCTGCCCCCTTTGGTGAAGAGAAGACTGAGGGGTGACATGACTGCATTCTTCAAATACCTC